ACTAAGCAGTTTACCGTTATGGGGCCACCATTGTATACAAGGTCTGTCACTGACTAAATGTCATATGACTCTACCTCTATATCTTGGTCTGCTCAGGCTGCTATAACAAAATATCCTAGGTTAGATGGTTTAGAAATGGACATTTATTGTCTCTTAGTTCTGAAGATTAGAAGTTCAAGATCGAGTTCTTAACCAATCTGGTTCTTCTTGGATTTGGGGCAGCCATCTTGCTTCTAGGCAGCCATCTTGGTTTCCAGGCAGCCATCTTGGTTTCCAGGCAGCCATCTTGGTTTCCAGGCAACCTGTGTGCTCACGCCATGGTGAGAAGTTTCCCAGGGATTCCACCCTCGAGACCTAATCTGACTGTAAATACCCCTCAAAGACCTCATCTATAAATACAGTTACTACAAATATAATTAGAATGCAATTACTTCAATACTCTGAGAAAAATGCAAATGTTCCTGCTATAAAACTATGTAAGAAGAAAAAGATTGAAATTGTAAATAACTCTGACTTTCAAGATTTGCAACATCAATTTTGTTCTGAGCAATCTTTTAGCTTATTTTTGCTTTTATTGGAATACCGTGTAGTCCCTAATAATTAATTGCATGATGGGGGAGGGGGAGTTGGTGTGTGTGCATAACACGTCTTGATTCTTTTTCTGCCCACTCCCAGCTCCTCCCTCCCTTCTCCCTCCATTTCCTGGTTCTAAGCAGTCTATTTTAATGTCACTCCTTACCAAGCATCCATTGTATAACACACTGTGTTAACAACCAAAGGGAAATACTAAGAATGAGGCTTGATATCTACCCTCAAACCTAAAATCTCCAACCTAAAATCAGAGAAAACTTCAAAGAAAAATGAAAAATACCTTGAATTAAACTGACGCCTATCTAAGTAACAAAGCTACTATACAGTATTTAGAGGAAGTAGAACAGCATTGTGAGAGAGAACCCAGGTTTTGGAATCAGATAAGAACAAGATTAGGCTAAAACTAATTAATCATTCAAAACCTGTTTTTCCACCTGTAAAATGGGGCTAATGACTTGCCACCTCTGGGGTGTTGTAACAACAGCAAAGCACTTAACACAGCAGCAAGCCTGAGGGAAACACGCAGGAACCACTAATTAAAATAAGTGTGCGTGGGGGCAGGGTCTCCAAATAAGACCTCAGGACGGCAGGGAGAGACTCCCAGAAGACAGCAGGAGTCCATGTGAGTCCTGGCTTCCAGGCCCCAGGCAGTAACAGGCAGGACTCCGTGAGCTGTAGAGGACTTGGGCAGCCGGCTGGGAAGCACAGCATCTGTGGAGCTGTGACAGAGGTGTCTGGTTAGAGGGGACCACGTAGCTAGTGAGCCATGAAGAGGTAGACCAGCAAGCTCGGCTGGGCTGCGCCCTGGGTGTCCTTCCAAGCTGGATAGACCAAGGCTATGTTTCATCCCACACTGTCCCTTCGTCAGCAGAACACAGCACCTTGTCCTCAGAGCTTGTGAAAACTGTCTTACCTCCAAGTACATTTTCCTACTCAATTCAGATACAATCACATAAAAAACATCTGGTTTTCCCCCTTTACATTGTTTAAGAGCAAGTCCCAGTTTGATTTTATATTCAGAAGCTTGTTCTGCACTAAGGCAAAAAAAAAAAAAAATACATAATGGGACTCAAGTGGTACATGAAGTGATTTCAAAGGAATTTTAATTTTAAAAATCACTAATGAAGCTCCTTCTTAACTCCTAAGGCACCAAAGATAAGCAAGTTCTCGGGCTTTTCCTCCTGTAATGGCAAAAGCTCTTCTACAAGAACAAATGTTCGTGCAAAAGTGATTTGATCTAACTGGTATGGCCATTCCAAGCTAGAGAAGCTTCTGAATTATTCACTACATTTCAGGTTATCTTAATCCTTTGTAGAACAATAGGAATCATAGATTAACAAAGAGTTTGCCAGGTAGGCATCTTAATGAACAGATAGTCATTGGCAATCGTGCCTTAATGAGTTCACTGCAAATGTATTTTGCTAAAATGGTTTAAAGAATGAATGGAAAAGTTGTTTGCTCTTTAAATATAATCATTTATCCAATTAGTCTTAACCACAAAACTGAATGAGGTAGATCCCCTACCCTTTGGTAGCTCCCAGTCTAAATTAAGCAAATGGTAACAATAGTCTCCAAACATTATAGTAGAAGTAAAACGATCATCTTATCCAAGCACTTAACAGACAGCCCCTGCATTTGTATTGTTGGTTTAGTAAACCCCGTTTTGAAGAACAGTAGAAGACAACACTATTCAATATGAGTGCATTCCACTCCCAGTGACTCTGAATTAATGGATTTCCAAGACATGAGATCTTCATGCATGAAATACATTACACTCAGCTTCCTGAAAAATCTGACCAACAGAAGCACCATCTTTGGCTCCAATTTTCTTTGCCCTTGACACTGAAAGTGTTGAAGGAAACTGTTTCCATGCCTCGAGGGTGCCCGCTTCCTGATGAGAAGGATGCAGCGCCAGTGTTTTCCATTCCCTAGAACCTAGGAGAAATCAATCCAAGGGGAGAAAGGAAGGGAACCATGCGAGGGAGGGAGGGAGCAGTTTAGGGGGAAAGGACTAGAGGATAATGGTTTCATTTCGGAAATTTTACTAATAGCCGGATGATCATACCATAACAGACAGTAACTACTGAGTTTCACTGTGCCTTGGTCTTCGGCTTCTTGGTGCCATATTTGTGTTAGCTGAGCAGCTCTGCATGGCAGAACATGGTCATCGTACAAGTGGAGAAAAGGGGAACAGAAAGGCCCGTAATTTGGGGGACGTGGACTGTCCATCAGGTCTTTACCTGGTGGCCCCCAGAGGGGCATCAGGAAACCTGCCCCTACTTTCTATGTTTGTGTGTGAGTCCTGGGAAGGAGCCATCTTTTAGTGAGATGCCCAAAGTGGCCCTGACACCCCCTCTCCCAAAACTCTAAGGTTACGTTTTGTGTATTTCAATCTCAACTTAGATGTCAGTGTTTAGTGAGCAAAAGAGTCACACAGTAAACTATCAGTCTGGTGATGATATTTGAAGCTTTCCCACACTCCAGTTTCATTTCCTCCACATTTTCTTTTTTAAAGTAAATGCAAAGGCAAAGACACTTAGACAAAGTAATCCCACCAAAGCTCCCTGGATGGCCCATTGAACATGCCCACAAGACTGAGACTGAGCAACACACTCAGGGTGTGCAGAGGCAGCCACCAGTGGGCCAGGCCCAGGAGCACCCTCCCAGGTCCCTCGGCCTTTGGGAAGCACCAGGAGTCCTGCTTTGTTCTCCTGTCTCCACGTCTGTCTTTAGTTGTCCTTCTGTCTCTCTGCTTCCTTCTGTCCAGTGCTGTGGGGTGGGGTCCCCAATCCCAGCCCTCGCTCTCTTCCTTTCCCCAAGCTTTTCCCCCAAGCTCTCCTCCAGTCTCATCCTCGGGCCCGAGGTGCTAGCCACACCGCCCTCAGTCCTCAGAGGTCACTTCTGACCTTCCTCCCAGGAGCTGGCTAAGCACGCTGGACCCCACCCTGGTCAGTTCTCACGGACATTCCATTTCCCCCTCCAGTTAACGCAGCTGAAACCTGACTCAGCCTCTGCTCCACTGAGCTCTCTCCATTTACTGTTTCTCGTTCACCAAGTTCCCATCAATATCAAGATCGGGCTTGGAATCAAGAGAGCACTCAGTGTGACCTCATTTCCCCACAGCTAAGAACCTCAAACCCCCTCCAAACTCATCTCCGGGGTTTGCGTGTGCTTGGTTCTCCTTGGTTCTCATCACTACTCCCTGAGCATCCTTGGCCTGAGTTCCATGTGTTCCCTAAAAGTTCCTTGAGACCTGGGAAGTGCTCTTTTCCACCAGTGGAACAGACTTTCCATGAAAAGGTGGACGAGCTCCACGACCCCCTATTTGACAGACGAGGAAACCGGGCTCAGAAATATTCAGTGCCTTGCCCAACAGCACGCAGTGGATCTGTGAAGGAGCACTCTGGAGACAAAGACTCTTTACTCTTGATCAAGGCTACTGCGCCCCATGCCGGGCTCCCACTTCCCAACTTGAGCTGTGCAAGAGCTGCCTGTACTTCTTCACAGCTTCCTTCATGGCCTGTGCACTGTGCTGCACAGCAAACACTCAGCAAAAATATAAAGTGGAAAGAGAGCCATTAGGCATGGGGAAGGAGAAGAGGACAACAGGGGCTGGACAGCTCAGCTCAGGCGCCCACGAGGGCCCTCTACTGGCCAGGACCCAACAGCCACCACCCAGCCAGCCCTCATCTGAGCCGAGCGTAGAGAGGTGGCCCAGGGATCACACCTGGAGCCGCAGGGACAGCCCAGCCCGGCCTCCAAGTCGTCGCCTGCCTGGACCCAGTGCGGTGGCGGGACTTTCCCACCCTTAGGCTTGCTGTGTGGCTGGTGACTCAGAGCTGTTCCTACTGCCCAAGGTATCATTTGTAAAGTGCTTTCTTGGAAGAGAAAATGTTTGGGACAGCTGGACACAGCTCCCGGGCCGGAGCCACAAGGAGGCCTGTTGTGTGCAGGAGAACACAAGCTTCTTATTTTCCTCTCCCGCTCTTCCCCTTGGCTGTTTATTTAAAGATCCCACCATCACCAGGGGATGGGGTGGCGGGGCCTTCGGGCAGAGCCCCCGAACCACCAGGGAGCAGGGCGGCCGGCACTTACTGCAGGCACCGCAGCCGCCATGGGCCAGGCACAGGGCCAGGACCGGGGAGCCGGGCCAGGGTGGCGGGAGGCTTCGGGAGAGAGCTGCTATTGTGTCTTGGGCGATCCTGTAGTTCCCGTGTTTGCTGTTATGATTTCTCTCCTCTGTTGCCATTTCTCTTGGTAAATCTGTTCCTGTCTTCTACAGAGAGACCTTTATAATTCTATATAGACGATCGAAATACACGTAAACATTTAAATTAATTTTTAAATGTATCACACTGCCAGGAATCTCCCTCCAAATTCCCCCCCTTGTGTCAAATGCACTTACTCCATTGTTCTGGCCACTTTGTTTTGTTTTTATTTTTAATTTTAAGTAGAAAAAAATAACAAAATTTCAAAACATGACGATTAGAGGGTACCTGGTTATACATGGCAGATTGCTATCTTTAAGTTAATTACTGAGTCCAAGCTATCTGCATTTAATTGTCCAAACAATATTAGCACAAACCTTTCTTTGCAATGAGCTAAGAGAAATTAGCAATATAAGTACCTTAACTATCTTGGACAGTTACACATCTATGTACACATACATATTTCTGGAAGTCTTCTTTGACGGGTGCCTCGATGTCCCAGGTTAATTCAGAATGTTTTCCTCTCCTCCGCTTTGGGTTGGAGTCAGAAGTCGCAGGGCCCCAGCTCTGGTGAATGAGCTGGGTGAGACCTGCTCCTGGTTTTGTGAGCTTGGCTTTCTGGATCGGCAACAGCATTCACTATATTTTTCATAAAACCCCTCAAAAAATTTTAAAAAATAAAAAGAGGGCTTCCAGAGCTGCTCTGGAAAGCGGCAGGAATGACAGTTCACAGCAAAGGGGGAGGGTTTGAGGCAATTAAAGGCGATGTGCCTTCTGCTGAAGTAAATGTTGTATTTCAGCATTAACTATATTTTTCGATCCTCCTTGTGTGTGTGTCTACATCCAGTCACCAGGCTGTTGGGGTCACTCCTCCAGCACCTTTCACAGGAAGTTGTGGCCCTGGGCAGCTCGCGGAGGAGGTGACTGAGGGGGCCCCCCCGGCGAGTACCCCCCAGTGCATTCACCACTTCTGACATCCGATGGTCAAGAGAGGACAAGAAATAGTGTGGCCCAGGGTCTCTCCCTTGCTCATTCCTGGGGCCTGGAGCCCTGGCATCTCAGGACAGAGGACAGGTCAACAGAGGCCAACACCGGCGAGGCTTGGTTTTAATATTCTCTCTGTCTCTGTCTCTCTGTCTCTCTGTCTCTCTGTCTCTCTCTCTCTCTCTCTTTCTCTCTCTCTGTATCTATCTCCCTCTCTCTCTCTCTCCAGTTCCAAGAGAAGCTCCAAAGGCAAGCAGGATTAGGGCTTTTTACAATGGGGAAAAACATCTTACTAATCACTGTAGCATACTTTCCGGACTAGGAGAGAAAAAGAAACTTACGTTTGGATCTCCAAATCTGATAGAGTTTCACAGTGGAGGGCAGAACCTTCAGCTCTCGCCAAGGCTGCCTCCACCGTTCCTGGCAAGTTTTAAGCAAAATTCTAATTTTCAAGTTTTTACCTGCCAGTGACTGGTTAGATCTTGGGTATTTATACAAAGAAAGAAAAACCTATTTAAGATCATTATTTGACACTTGTAAATTTAGTTCCTTTTTTCCCCCCTGTCAAGACTAATGATGCAGGAAGCTATGCGGGACCCAGGAAGAGAAAAGGCAGCTAGCACCTCCCATGAGCCACAGGTAGGTGGGCTGAGAATCAAGAGCCACCCCTACCCCACCCCCACCCTGTAAGCAAGCGGTTGTTCTGAGGACAGGCTGAGCTGATAGCAACTGAGCTACCAAAAACAACTGAATGCTTGCATTGTCTGGAGGACTTTGCAGGCCTGAGGGCCTACAGGGAGGATGACAGTGTGCCATACAGCAAATATGGGGATTTCCTTCTGCCTCATTCTTGAAGTCCAATATTATTCTGTTTTGTTTTGCTCCAATTAATTGTTTTGCTTTATTCAATGTTCTATTTGGTTGGTTTTATTCTGTTTTGTTCTGGCTTGATTCTGCTATGTCTGATGGTATAGACAGCTATTGTAAAGATAAGGAGATAAACTATGGTAGCATTGTTGATTTCCTACTGTCCTGCTTCGAAGTTTCGCTGCTTTGTTTTGATTGGCTTATTCTGTTTTGTTTTGTTGGTTTTAATTCTCTTTAAAATTTAAAAACGTTTTAAAACAAAGACCAATGATGCAATGAACATATCCCTACAGGCAGTGTCTCTGGCTTGGCTCCCACCTTTGGGATAAGCACGCAGGAGACCGTGGCTGAATCCAGCAGTAGGAACACGGCCACAGCTTCCAGCGCCCATGCAGCTCACGTGCAGCTCCCGGTCCTCCAGGGCTGGCAGAGTCCAGTCCAGGGTGACAGCCCGCCTCATACCTGATGACAGAATCCCACACCAGGTGCTCTTCTCGCTCCGCGTTGTCTGGTCATAGGCGCTGTCGTTATTTTGGAAAATGTTCAATGACTTCTAGGACAAGAATCCTCTGGTTAGTTTTATTAGAATTGTGTATTTATAAGTGGCAATGATAACTCCACTGATTAGCTTTAAAAAGAAAAGAAAAGATCTTGGGCACCTTGAAGACTCGGTGTTCCCATTCAAAAGTGCCATCTGTATATCCACGGTTTACTCCCCCTGTGGCCCGTGGTGACCGTGACTGGCGGGTGCCCAAGGTAGCTGGGGCTGTGCAGCCGAGCCCCGCACAGTGAATTATGGGGAAATTCATGGGCCACATGCAGGCCTGACTGTGACCCCACCATGACAGCCCCACCCTCTCCCCTTCTTGATTCTCATCCAGACAGAGGCAGAGGGTGCAGGGCCCTTGGCTCCCTGGTCACCATGGAAACCTTTGCTCTTAAGGTGTGTACCACTGATAAGATTTGGCCCAACTGCATCACTGCAAAGATTCTGCCCAGCTGAAAGCCTGCATTTGTGGTTAGAATCACAGGAAATCGTGTTTGCTCCTGAAGCCCCTAGCGTGACGCTTGTCCTGGGAAAACAGTGACCCCTTTCCCCACTTCCTTCAGGGCTAGTGGGGCCTCTCTTGGACCAGGGACCCCTGAATAGCATCCCAGCCCCCCATTCATCTGCAGATCATCCCTCAGTGCACAACTGGTCCCCACTTAAGAGTGGTTCCACTTAAGGCTTTTAGGCTTTATGTTGGTGAAGAAAAGATACACAATCGGTAGGATCCTTACATTGACATTTTGTATTTCTGTTTGTTTGTTTGAGCCAGGGTCTCGCTATGCAGTCCGAGCTGACCTGGAGCTCATTTTGTAGCCCAGGCTGGTCTCAAACTCCCAACGATCCTCCTGCCTCAGCCTCCCAAGTGCTGGGATTACAGGCTTGCACCATCACAGCCAGCTCATACTTTGACTTTTAAATCTTGATCTTTTCCCAGGCTACTAAAATACACGTCCCTCAGATGCTGGGTAGGGTCCGTGAGCAGGACGGAAACTGACTGAGTGAGTATCTGCAGTGTGTGATGGAGGGGAGGCTAGGAGTCTGTATCTGACTTTTTTTTGGCAGTACAGGGAATTGAGCCCGGGGCCTTTGCTGTGAGCTATATCCCAGTCCTTTTCCTTCTTTTCTTTCTTCCTAAATTGCTAAATTATCCAGACGAGGCTGAAACTCGTGATCCTCCTGTGTCAGACTCCCAGCGTGCTGGGCTGACAGGCGTGTACCTGTTCTTCCGGTGTCAAAGTTTACAGTATTTACAAAAAGCAATGGGCTTTTCAGGAGGTGACCCAACACAAGTCAGACGCGTCCACTGGTACTTAGCTTATTTAGGGTAGAAGCATTATTCAACTGCCACACAATTCAGATTTGATTTTAAATCTATTTTTTTTAATTTTTTTAAAAAAATTTTTTAAACCATATAGGCACAGTAAAGTTAATGAGATCTTTACCTTGACCTGGTTAACAAACTCTGTGTCTCTGACTCAAGGCCCATTCTGTTGTATCCACTTCACAGCCGTCTTCATTTCCAGGACTCCTGTAACAAACAGCTACAGGCAGGTTGGCTTTGGCAGTAGAAATTTATTTTCAAATGGATCTGGAGCTGCAAAGGCTGAGATCAAGGGGTCAGGCAGGCTGGTCTCTTGGGAGGCCTCTCTCGGGCACGGGGAGGGCCTCCTTCTCCCTGTGTCTGCACACCTGTCACTGTGTCCAGATCCCCTCGCCTCAGCAGGACACCGGCCACTCTGCCTGGATTTTAACATCATTACCACTTTAGCCAGGCTGAGTGGCACATGCTTGTAATCCCAGCACTCCGGGGCTGAAGCAGAAGAACCGCCAGGAGTCTGAGGTCAGCCTAAAGTGCAAGGCAAGACCCTGTTTCCAAACATTTCCTTCCCTCAAGGCTCTCTCTCCAAACACACTCACGTCTGCAGTTACTGGGGGATTAGGACCTCAGTGTGAATCTGGATACAGAACAGCCCACTCTGTAACTCCTGCTATCTTACTGACCACCTGCACCCTGCCACCCTCAGGGAGCAAGAAGAGCAAGGAGCAGGGCTGTGTTCCTGTCCCCTGCTCTGCGGTGCTTCAAGGGACCTGATCCTGCCTGGCTGTTACCCACTCATTGTGCAAGAAATAACAAAAGACTGGAGCACACACACACACACACACACACACACACACACTCACGGAGGAGGTCGATGCAAGGCCCGGTATGTGGGATTCGCAGACGACTCACAGTAGAAAGGCAGCCTGTAGCTTGGGAATCAGGAAAGGTCAGGGTTTCGGTTTAAGCCACTTAGGGAGATCTCTAGGTTGATATCTATCAACCTTCTTCCCGTACCCCCAGAATGCATGAACTGTATCAGTAATGAGCATGCATGTCGATGAAAGAACCATAAGCCTTTAATTGTCACCCCAAAACCAAAGAAAAGCATGGGAAGACGGCGCACACAGAGAGGTAGACACCACTCTGAATTGTGAACAGGTTTCTCAGTTGCAAAGGGCAGTGGCTCATGTTACTTACCATTTAAAAATAACTAGGACTGAAGAAATGAAATGAGACATGTGATTAGCGCGTCAACTTCAGCCAGAGTCCCTTTGATAGTTGGAAGAAAATAAAAGCCAGCCAAGAAATAAACATTTCAAATTCAGGTGCTGTGCAATCTGTGCTCCAAATGTTTTCCCTGAGCTTGCGAAGAGGTGGCCCGCCTGGCTCGCAGCAGACAGATTGCTGGCTTTACCCGTGGGGTCCTTACCTTCAAAATAAGAGCACTGAGGGGCGGGTGCAGCCTCGCCCAAGCCCACTAGAAAGAAAGGGCAGAGATGGACAGACATGGGGGTGGCACCGAGGTCCCTGGGGCCTGCAAAGAGACATTTGAGGCTGAGGACTTAGCTCAGTGGTGCAGCACCTGCCTGCCAAGCTTGAGGTCCTGAGTTTGAGTCCGCACACACCCTTCTGCTACAGAGATGGCTGTTTCCATCTCTATTGGGAATCCAAGGAAGGGAAAGAGTCTTCTGTGCTGAAATTAAAAGATGCCCATAACTGTAAGAAAGAAATGCAGAGACAAGACCATTCTTTTGTTATGTCTTTTTGAGACAGGGTCTTGCTATGCAGTCCAGGCTGACCTTTAGCTCAATTTGTAGCCCAGGCTGGTCTTGAACTCACAACAATCCGGGGCTCAGCCTCCTGCAAGCTGGGATTGCAGGCCTGCACCACCATGCCCAGCCCAAAGACCATTCCACACAGAGGAAGAGAGAAGCGCCCGAGGATCAGCATCCACCCTCCAGCCAGGCCACCCGGGTCAAGGGCCCGTCCTGCTCCTTGCCGGCTGCGTGGACAGAGGCACTTGAGCTCCCTGTACGTCTGTTTTCCTATCCATAGGGTGAAAGCAGGGCAAACAGCACCTACCTTACCCTCAGTCGTGGTGAGGACTAAGCCTATGTAAAACCAGAATGGAGTCTGCGGAATTATACTGCGTTACGGAAGTGTAACCGCTCCAATCATGGTGCCGTTATTTGGTAAAACAACCCAAAAAATAGAAAGGATTTGTAATGATAATGTGGGCCAGGGCTAGGGAGGATGAATGAGGCAGATCAACAGAACTCATTTCAGTGCCAAATTGAAGGCAAGAGATGCCAAAAAATTCAGTAATCGTGATAGATCATGTTTTGATGCAATGATATTAAAATCAAAGTAAGGCAAAAGTTATCCATGATGAACAAAACATCACAGATTTAAATAAAGACAAGACAAAGCCAGGCATAGTGGTGTGTCTCTCATCCCAGTGCTCTGGGAGGCTGATGCAAGAGGGTCTCCAGTCTGAACTCCAGCCTCAGTAACTTAGCAGGATCCTGTCTCAAAATAAAGAATTTATTTATTTATTTATTTATTTTTGTTGGTACAGAGGATTGAACTCACGACCACCTGCTTGCAAGGTAGGTGCTTATGCCACTGAGCTAAATCCCCAGCTCCAAAATAAAGAATTTATTAAAAAAAAAAGTTTGGGTATGTTGCTCAATGGAAAGGCCCTGGGTTCAATCCCCAGTATCACGCACACACAAACACACACACACACACACAATACAATTGAAGACAGAATCAGTATTATTGACTTTTCCCTTCTGCTCTAGGCATCAGTGTATCTTGGCGAGCAGTAAGTCCACTGATATCATCGTAAAAGAGCTGCAAGTTGATGTCCCATGCTTTTCTCTGGAAGGAGAAATACATAGGATTTTTTAACCCTTTTACCATGAGATTATATACAAAAGTCATATAAGAGAAAGCCACTCCACCCACAGGAATCCAGTAGCAAGCAGAGTTGTTGCTTCACTCTTCAAATCTACAAGGAAAAAGGAAGAAGCAATTGAGAATACAAGAAGAAGAATAAAATGCATGGAACCTTCGTGGGCCTCCTCTTCCTCTGTGAGACCAAGGGAGGCTCAGAGACGCAGCTGTGTCTGACCAGGGTCTCTGCAGCTGGGCTGGGGTCCTCAATTTTCCTGTGTCTCAGGGACTCCAGGCCTTTGGCCAGCTGTCCTACCCCAACTCAATAAGCAATCAGCTTCACATTGCTGCAACAAAGTGCCTGAGGAAAGCAACTCAAAGAAAGAAAGGTCTACCTGGGCTCAGTGGTTTACACGGACTCTGGGACTCTTGCTGGGTGCCTGAGACAAAGCTGAATGTCATGACAGAGAATGGGACATGGTGGCCCAAAGGGGAGAAGAAGGAGGAGAGAGGAGGAGGAGGAGGAGGGAGATAGGGAGGGAGGAGAGTAGCATTCCTCTCCTGCTTTTTTTTACATCCAGGGCCCAATTGGATGGCGCCACCTATATCTAGGGCGGGACTCTCCATTCAGTTGGCTGTCACACATGCCAATCACTCCTGAGCAGGCTGAACTGATTTCTCAGGGTTTCTCAATGCAATCAAGATTAACCATCACAATTCCAAAGCCTGGGCCCTGGAAGGTCCTCCAGAGCCTTTCTGTAAACTTCTGGGTGATGCAAAGAACTAATGATGAGCCCTTGTTCTGCCCTTGCCCTGTCTGCTTTCCTTTGAAAATGTCCTTTTCCTCCTCTGTGAAGGGATGATAATATTGAATTCACCTCCTAGAGTGACTTAGAAGATCAAGTAAGAAGGCACAAAATGCATTCAGCGTGGTCCCTTTAAAAACCCAATTTCCTACGCTTCTTCACATGTCAAAGCCTTCAGCTCCTTCTACTCAACCAGAGAAGCAGCCACGCATTAACACTGCACAGCAAGTGATTAAAAAAAGAAATACGGACACCGCCGTGATCTCACCTTGGAGGATGCTATGTGGTTCCATGAGGAGCAGATTCCCCTCGTAATGACATTCCTTCAAACAAATGTTACAGTTCTCTGAAATCTGATAAACAACTACAGACCTGCGAAGGTGACCCAGGAGCCTGCTGGTGACGGAAGGTGGGCTGTGTGCGGTTAATAATTTTCTGAGTTTGATCCCTGTGGCAGATCAATAGAACGTGGATGGAGTTGACCGTAACTTTTTTTTCCATTTGGGGAGAAGGCAATAACATTTCCCTAACATAGGTTAACCTTTAAGAAAGCTTCATAGATCAAAATAAGTCCGGTAAAAATGAAGATAGGACCAAGGATCATGAAACTTTACACCAGTTTTTTTTCCCCTGAAGATCATCAACAGATTGCAACGCACCAAAAGCACAGTTAACCATAAACCTTCTCTTCAGCTTTATTCTTATCCCTTTTTTAGGATTTTTACACATTTTTAATTGTATTTAGAAAGATTTCCATCAAAAAAAATGACAGAGAAAACTTGAAATGATCTCTAGTCCCTGCTGTGTAGGTGGCCTCCGGTGACACTTGAAGAATAAAATACAGAGCAAGTGCTTCCCCATGACCAGGATATCGAATATAGAAATATATTGTAAGTCAAAGAGCTGTTTCCCTCCACCAGACTCCGGCTCCTCGGCCCCTGTTCTGTTTAAACCTCAGAAGTCAGTCTTCAAAAGTTCTTTGGAGACCTTTGCAGACAGCAGTTCAGCTCCAGTGCTAACCTTTATGGCACGGAGAGGAAGGCACTGGTGACAGAATTAGCTGTGTTTTTCGTCTGTGTTGTGTAGGCTGAATTCTATTCCTCCTAAAATTCTCATGTTAGACCCTGGACCCCCAGCATCTCCAACGGTGCCCATACATGGAAAAAGACCTCTGAAGAGACTGCTGTGGCCAGCTAGAGTTGATGAAAGTTTCAAAGCTTGCTGTTCCTAGTACCGCTGGGATGCGGGGAGACGTCACTCCTATGGACTCCTGTAGAAAGTGTGTGATCCAGCATGACGGGTCTTTATTAGCAGAAGAGGTCGGGTCACACAGAGACTTCTGTGGTGCTTGTGTGGCAGGATGATGCAAAGAGGTGGAACAGCACAGGCCTATAATCCCGACACCTGCAAGCCTGCAGCAGAAGGATCGCAAGTTTGAGCCCAGCGTGAGCAACTTAGCAATTTAAAGACACTCAGTCTTAAAGTTTTTTAAAAAGTGCTTTAATTTAAAGAAAGGGTTGGGGATACAGCTCCATGCAAAGGTCCAGGATGTAGCCTGGCCCTGCTTGCACCTTGATCTTGCACTTCTAACTCTTAGTACCATGAGATAATAAATTTCTGTTACTTAAGCTCCTCTATCCATGGTATTTCGTTACACAGCCCTAGCTAACTAATACAACCTATGAGTATACATTTGTAGCATAACACAAATGTGCTTAAGAACCCACCTCATATTGTACCACAAGTTATCATGTGGTTTTACCCCTGACTTATCTACTGACATTTACACTGACTCCAAATTCTTGATGAATTCAAACGGTGTTGTGGTAAACCTCTATTTTTTGATATCCTGCATAATTATATGAGCATCTCTAGAGAGTGAAATCCCTGAAATAAAATTCTGGCTCAAAGTACAAATATACCCATGATGAACTTTTATAGTATCAAATTACACTTGAAGTTTCTGCGTTTACTGGGCATGGTAACATATACATATAATATCAGCATGTAGGAGGCTGAGGCCGGAGGATTGCTATGAGTTTGAAGTCGGTCTAGGATGTGTAGTGAGTTCAAGTCTACCTTGGGATACATGTGAGACCCTGACTCAAAAAAAAACAAAACCACAGTGCTGGGACTGAGGAGCATCAACCACGAAGCCAACTAGCAGCTCTCTTTCAGTCGCACAAGCTGTATGGGTACCAGGAAGGGAAAAGTTAGCACTCTGCATCTAACCCAACCCCCATAAGCAACCAGCTGGTTCAGAGCACAGACTGAGTTGATAGCAACTAAAATACAAAAAGCAAGTAAATGCTTATATTGCTTGCTTGATTTTGCAGGCCTGGGGCCAGCAGTCTGAGCATGTATTGGGAGATTGACAGTATGTAGTATATCAAATGTGGGGGAATTTCCTTCTGTCTTGTCTTTGAAATCCAAACAGAGAGACAGAGACAGAAAGACAGAGAGACACACAGAGAGACAGAAACAGAGAAAGACAGAAACAGAGACAGAGTTCTATGTCTCTCTGATGAGAATGATGTCTCTTATTATTTTATTTATTTATTTATTTAGAAAGAAGGCCTCCTATTCCTGTCGGGTTAGACTTGGTCTCACCTTGTGAGCTCCCACATACTGTGACGGAGTCTGGGCTAGGTAGGCTGATGGGAGGACCCCGGGTGGGAGACAGGGGTGGGGGTGCCGGTTCCCCAATGGTTTCCCCCTGCCAGCAGGCATGGATGGAGCAAGGCTGAGCCGCTGCAGACAGAAATACAAATCAGGGTGCACGTGGGTGACATTTTGAGGCTTAAATAATCTAGAGCTAAGAAAGTATGTGTAATTCTAGTCCTGCACACAAGCACAATGACAGAATTCCACACTCTCCTCCAAAGACTTAACACAAGCACAGGGCATCTTTCCCTGACTTGAGACTGTTTTTACACATCGCCCTCTATTAAAGAAAAATCCAGCGGGTGTCGGTTACTTCCTAGCTTTGTTCATTCCCACATCAAAACCTTGGTCCTGAAACATGCTTTTTCCAAATTTTAAATCCAAAATTGTAACTTAATGCAAAGCAATTATAAGTAACAGATGCTGACAGGTTTGCACTTTTTGCTTCCACCAGAAATATACACACACATCGGCTCCAAATTTTTGAATATGATATCCAAACAAAGTGAGGCGCTAAGAAAGGGGAGACGGCTCATTTTAAATCCACACCTATGAGCTTTAGAACTTGAATCTATGGGGAAACTGGGAAGCCAGACACAAAAGATCGTCTGCCGAGCTATTTGACAGATGACCCCATTCGATCGGCACACTGGTCACAGCAGAGCAGGGTGGTAACTCATGACCCTAAGAATGACAGCACTGCGGGTTCAAAACCCACATCTACCACATATCTAGTTAGGTGACCCTGGCTAACATAACTTAACCCACTAGGTCTCACTTCTCCAGCTGTAAAGGAAGGGTGACATTATCTGCCTTGCTGAGTTGTAAGACTTATGTCAGCTAAGGACTGGAAACTGCTCAGACAGGCTCAGCACGTACTACGAACTCTGCCAGTGACTGAACACCTTCGCTCAGTGACTGCCCCACGCGCATCCTTAGCCTGTCCCTGCCTTTCTCCTATATGGCATCTCATGCTCCTCACACAGCTTGGGCTTCTCCCACGGTGGTCCCAGAGGTGTCTCACTCCCTCCATGAAAGTATCAATGTCACTTCCACTATGTTGTGTTAGTCAAAGAACTAATGTGGCCCGGGGAGTCAGCAGACCCCATCCTCAGAGGAGAGGCTGCTCATTCATGGTTTAGAAGCATGCAGCCGAATTATCCACTGTAGCAACTCTGTAAAACACAGCCTGCCACAGTGTGATGGTGTTGTCATTGTTGACGATGCTCTTCTTGTTAAGAATCTTTGCTTAGCCAAAATGATGTGCACAACCCCTCAGACCCACACTCGCCCTGCCATGCTGGCTGGATGGTAGGACTGAGAAGTACCTCAATGTGAAGACCTCCCTGTGGGCCTCAGCCTCCCAAGCACAGCTCGTCTAGCCGGTGAGACTCCCTCATGTCAACTCATCAAAGCTGCATCCTAGTCAGCTTGGTACTGGGCCAACATACCTGCGAGAAGCAAGTAATATGCAGGAAAAGTTTATTGTGTCTCACAGTTTCAGAGCCTCGGTCCCTGGTTTCTTGGCCCTGCTGCTCTGATCCTGTGGCAGCACAGTGCATCGTGGTGGGAGCCCGTGGTAGAGGAAGCTGCTCACAGTCGCCAGAATACAAAAAGAGAGGCGAGAAGGGTTGGTGGCCCCTACTTCCTGCAAGGACACTGCCCAGTGACCTAATCTCCTTCCACGAAGTCCCATCTCCCCATGGCACCCCAGGCTGCCAACCCAGTCTTTAACCCAGGGGCCTTGGTGACATGAGCCAGATCCAAACTGTAACGGTTCCCTTTCCTCCAAGCATACCAAGAAACAAGAAACAGTAGCACAGGCCACCTCGGGCGGCCTCCCCCTGAGCACCTCTCCCCTGGTAGGACGCTCCCCACACCATGACCCCTCAGGGAGGGAAGTGACCGCACAGAGGGATGACCAAGAACAGCTTCACTGTCAACTCGGTGGCCACTGAGTCCACAGGGCAGAGCAACCATGCAAAGGGATTAGAAGGGTGGACCCATACAGGCAGCCAAAGTCCACACCCCAAAATACCCCCGAGAGAGGACAGTGACCAGAATGTGACTCCCTTGTCACCAGGAAACCAGAGCTGGCAGCAAGCAGCTAACCTCAAAGAATAAATGGGGAGAGGATAAGGTTGTGTGTGATGTTAGAGGGCTGCAGTGGCCATAACACTGCGTCTAGGGTGCCACCAAACAACAGCATTTCTCACACATGTGGTTCCTTTTCAGAAACTCGTAGTGCACAGGGGCAGCTTCACAACCCGTCCTTTGCCACTGTGAATTATCCTGCGCAGGGTTCCGCTCAGCTCTTGGCTGATGGAATGGGACCTGCTTTCCCCCTTCCGAGCTATGGCTGTCGGATTAGGATTAAACCCTGGCAGGGTATTTGCTCTGACTTCCAGCAGCTCAGAAAATGAACTGATTGCAAGTGGAAATTTTTAGAAGCTACGTGCCTTCAAAATTTCTTGTCATACAAACAAAAATTAATTGTATAAGCTCTTCCTCTGTTCCAGTCACCAAGACCCTGAGTGACTGTCACTCAGCACACCCCAGAAGCTCGGGTTCAAGTCTTCCTGCAGCCAGGACAACTCCAATAAGAAATCAGATGTGAAATGTGCCCAGAGGAGCAGCTTGCCCCAGGGGGAACAAAACCAAATTCCTCCAAGCTTCGTGGATTTGCAGACCTACCAACTCACTTCATTCTACCCAGCAGCACCTCCGGGGTGTGAAATGTAAATACTTCACTCTATAAGGAGTATTTTATAATCAGAAAAGCCAGTACACCTTTTCCAAACTACTGTAATCCCCACACCCTCATATCATCCCAATAAGGGGCAAAGACAGCTCCAGTGTCCACAACTGCTTCTGATGTCCCTCACAGATGACCTCGGAGAGAACCCAGCACGAAGGTGGGTTTGTGGAACAGCAGAGCAGGTTTGAGAGCACTCAAGAGACAGAGACAGAGAGAGAGAGAGAGAGAGAGAGAGAGAGAGAGAAAGAAAGAAAGAAAGAAAGAAAGAAAGGTAGGGTGTGCTGGTGCACGTCTATAATCTCAGCACTCGGGAGGCTGAGGCATGAGGATTGTTGGGAGTTCAAGATCAGCCTGGGCTATAAAGTGAGTTCAAGGCCAGCCTGAACTGCATAGTGACACCATGTCTCAAAAAGACAAAAAGTTTAAAAAATGCAGAGATTGCAGCTGCTGTTTGCCACCCAACACCAAGCCTGACTCATAAAAACACGATGCTGGGTCCTCATCTACCTCATTCACCAGATCTGGCACCACGTAGCTTACGGATTTTCCTGAAGTCAAAATGATTGCAAAAGATAAGTATTTTAAATGAATTCCGGACACTGAAGCAGCCACAACAACACAACTAAAAACACTCACAAAAGAGGATTCCAGGACGGCTTCAGAAAGGGGCAAGCAGGGTGGGACGAGTGGGTGCAAAGCGAGGAGGGGCGGGTTTTGAGGGGGATTAACAGCAATGTGTTTTGTTTGGAAGTCTGGGTATTCACTATACCATAGAAGCCCCAGCTCAAATTGGTCACCTGCTGAGTGCTTCTCACCCTCTGTTTTCTCACTGGGCCTCAAAACAGCCCATGCCAGATGGGCACCGGGTCCTGATATCAATGACATCACAAATATTCATTCATTGCCCGCTGTGTACCAGGGCCACCCAGCATGGCCCCTGCTTATCAGTCACAAACCCCTCCAAGAACCCCATATTACCATCACCATTTGTCGAGGAAATGGAGGCACAGAGGAGCGACACAACGTGCCCAGACTCCCAGATAGTAATCCATGGGGTCAGAATCAATTGTCATTCTGCCCACTTCACGGATGAGGAAACCAAAGTATGGGAAGAAGCCACGTGACCTCGCTCGTAAAACCAGTGAGAGACCAACCGAGGCTGGATGCCAAGTTTGCTGGCTCCAGGGCCCAAGCTCTGTGTCACTGACGGAGACAGAGCAGCCCAGCGGCCTTTCATCCTGAGAGCGCCCCACTGTGCTGGCTCCAGGCACCATGGCTGCTCGTGGCCTCAGGTCTGCCCACCCTGTGGTGCCATCTATGGTGCTAGGCAGAGTGACCGTCAGTGTGGGCAAAATTACAAAATCTGCCTGCATTCTGTGATTTTAAGAGCATTCAAACCAGGCCCCTCCTGGACTTAGGGAACCTCTCCTTTGATGGCACCTGGGTGCCCTGCAGAAGTAAAGCTCTCCCAATTGCACTGGGGTTCCATATCACAGATGCCTTTACCAGACTCCTCTGCAGAGAGTAAGAAAAAACAAAGCCTCTCAGAGGAGAAACAGAAAGCAGCCTCAGACCTGCCAGAACATCCAGCGTGAGCCAGAGCTGTGTCCTCCTCTGGGACTCATAGCCATCTAAACAGATGTGATGAGCTTGTCAGGCTGGGCTTCCAGCGGGACATTTGCATAAGAGGTGAGCAGCCTCCTGGGAAAGCTCTCACCCTAAGGGAAAAGAGGTCAGCAGACAAGCCTGGCCCAGGGGCAGAGCCTAAAGCACAGGAAAGCAGATGGAGCTCTGGGTACAGCACTGTGTTCTGTCACTCACATTGGCTTCTGCTTTCCATCTGGGAGTTGGGTTGTGAGGGGGAAGAGGAGGTGGTCTGAGAAGGGAATAGGTGGTCTAGAGGGGCAGGAGGTGAACTGTTCTTGCAGGAATTTACACATAGCTGGCCCTGCAGGGTAAGTTATCTGCCATGGTCTCCTGTGGTACAAGGAACCAGGATGTAAGTCAGGAGATAAGAAAGATCTATCTGAGGGGAAGTGGGCAAGTGAGGATGGCTGTGCCCTCAGGCTCAGTTGATTTATTTAAATATAATCAGAAACCACGTGTCATGGGCCGACTAAAGTCGAAAGGTGCCCCACCACCGACCAATAGGCTTGCAGCCTGGATGGAATAAAAAGGGAAAGAAAAAGGGAATCCGGTATTTGCACCTTTATTTTTGTGGTACAGGGGAGCAAACTCACACCTCACACTTGCCACTGGGTGCTTAGGCCACTGAGCCTAATTCTGGGCCCTGCTTTGCATCTTTGAAGGGGCTCCAGTCTTTGCCATCACCTTTGGACGTCTGTCTTCAGGCTTCCATTAGCAAGGGACAAAAGGCTAGGACACAGGTCTTCCATTTATGAACACAGGTCACCCAATTCCAGAACTTGTTGATAGGAAATCAATGTAAAATATACAGAATTCAGACAGTTCCTGGCCCAAGTTATAGAACTCATATGTCTTCCTATTAAAATAGCTGAATGCACACAAGTATGAATATTTTTAAAGTTCTGTGGAAGAAAAGAGACAGTGGGTGGAGAAAGTCCAGGGCTTATTGTTAAAACCTCTCCACTACATGTAAGTATATTCTCAAGAGGCAGACACTGAGCATCAACAGCCCCTCTCTAACTCCTTGCTGACACCAGATCATGACACCTCTGCCTGACACCATACTTCATGTGTTGGAATAATCATCATATATCTCTCCCTGAAGGACAAATGTCAGCCTCACCTGCAATGTCCACCCTACTGGACTCCAAGGTGATTGGTGATTCACTTTGCCATCTGATCTACGGCAAGCACTTGAGGACAAACTTATACATTTATACCCGTAGACGCCATCTTGATTGGCAGATAGAAAGTCAAGGTGAGCCTTGAAAGCAGGCAGTCGTGAGTTCGATCCCTGGTACCGATAAAAAGGAAAAAGACAAAAAAAAAAAAAAAAAAAAAAAAAGAAAGTCAAGGTGAGATAAGGGAAAATGAGAATCCCTCCTTTGGGACCCATTGTGCATTGCAGTAGTGATCCTTTGTCTCCTGATTGGGGAAACTCAGTGATTGGATCCACCAAGCCCAAAAGGAAGCAGCCTAACTCAAGCATCTCCAGCACCCCAAGGCTCCTGGCTCCCTTCATGTGGAGGTGGTCCACTGTCAAGCACTCCTGTCAGGTGATTTGAGGAGGCTTCCTGTGAGTCAGATCTTCCCTGCCTCCCTCCCCCAGCTGCCCACCTGATTTCTGTCTTCCCACGGAAAATCCCAGGTAGAAGCTGTCAAGCATGAAAACTCAGCTGTAGGAGACTCATCCTCTGGACAATTCAGCCAACAGAAATCATAATAAAGTCTGGGCAAAGGTGAGAAGCAAGGCGGAGAGATAAGCAACCAGGAACGCAGTGAGACTCAGTGGCTGGATTCTGTGATGCGTGCTAAGCAGGCACACATCACCTGGCAGCTTTCGACCTGCCCATCTGAGGTGACGTCCCCAAGCCAGCTGTCTGCACTGTCCCTTTGCTGGCAAACCTGATCCAGGCAGAGGCTCTAAAGGGCCTTGCTGTCTCATGACTCCTGAGTTTACTCTGCACCCTGACCTCCCTCCCAGCTATGGGGCTTTATCCAGCTGCTCCCTGACACCTCCACTCACATGTCTGCAGACAGCTCTAAGGTTAGCACTTAAGACGGAAAGACCAGGATTTCCTGCTCTGCTTCCAAAACTCTGGCCCTCCTCCACCTCCATAAAGGAAACCCTCGCGCATCCAAAATCCTCAGCATCATCCCAGATCACGTTTTTCCTCTCAGTGCTCCCTCCCTTCCCATACACACGGCCGATTCGTCCCCTCGGCCCGTCGGCACCTTCTCCACGTATGTCACGAGCCAGTGATTTATTCCTGTCCCTCCAGCTCCTCTCCTGACCCTGACTGCTGTCCTCCCAGGACCACTATAAACAAGCTGAGGGGTCCCCCGCTCCCGTGCTCACTTGCCTGCCTGTGATCCATTCCCCACAGAGCAGCCAGGGTAATATTTTAAAGCAAGCTCGGATCCTCTCTCTCTCTCTTCTGTGTGAAAAATCCCAGTGGCCCCTACTGTGCGGAAAACGCAGGCTCCTCTTTCTGCCTCCCCCTCCTGCAGGGCCCCCAGCTCCTGGCTGCCTCTTCATCATGCTTTTTCTCTCTCCAGCTTTGGCCATCGCTTTTCAAACCTGACTCCATCTGCTCTTTCCAGCGAGGGCAGTGAGCTCTTGCTGTCGCTTCTGCCCAGATACTGACACTGTCTCTCTCCAGCTCCTCGTGTTGGTGGCTTTCACAGCCTTCTGATCTTGATGTGACTATTTCCTTCTGGAAGAGTCCTTCCCTGGCCACCCTAATCACCGTGACCTCCCAATTCACCATCTCTACTCAGTCCCTTCCCAGAGCTTCATGACAACCCAAAAGGACGTGGTTTGTGTATCAATTCCCTGGCGCATTATCTCTGTCCCCCAGGATAATGTTACCCAGGGGCTGAAGCTGTCTCACTGCTACACCCTCGGTGTCCAGCATAGTGCCTGCAATATACTAGATAATAATGCATTGTTAAATAGATAAATAAATCAATCTAGGGGCTGGGGATTTAGCTCAGCGGCATAAGAACCTGCCTTGCAAGCAGGCCGTCATGAGTTCAATCCCCGGTACCAACAAAAATGAAAAAAGAAAAAGAAAAAAAATAAATCAATCTATAAGTATGCTCAGTGAGCATCCTTTTATTATTAAAATGAACAGCTGGACATGGTGGTGCATGTCTATAATCCCACCACTAAGGAGGCTGAGTCAGGAGGATTGCCATGAGTTTGAGGACAGCCTGGACTACATAATGAGATCTTGTCTCAAAGAAAGAGGAGGAGGGAAGAAAGAGAAAAAGACAAATGAAAAAGACGGAAGAAAAAGAGAAGAAAAGAAAGAAGGAAAGATAGATGAAAGAGAAATCTATGTAACTCTGGGAACAGCAAAGTGACCTCTCAATGTAGGAAGGGCCCCAAACTTCCTGTCCTGTGGTACCACACGCAATACACACCCGCAACATAAGCAGGTCCCCTCCACCAGGTGGCACGCAGCCAGCTCTGAGAGGAATGCAGCTCAGCTCTGCACTGGGTGCCCTTGGACTACTTGAGGAACTCAGTGTTGCCGGAGTTAGGAGAGAAGTATATGAGTTTCCCACGGCTGCTGTAACAAACTGTCACAACCGTAGCTTAAAGCGACACCAATATAGAAGCTCAAAGCTCTGGAGGCCAGGACTCTGGAAATGGCTCTCACGGGCTGAAACCCGGGCATCGCCAGGCTGCCCTCCTTCAGGGGCTGCAGGGAAAACCTGTTTTCCTGCCTTTTTAAGCTGCTCAAAGCCACTTGCCTCCTCGGCTGCTGGACCATCCCTGCCTCTTCACAGCGTACCACCCAGACTCCTTTTCCGTCTCCCTCCGTTCTCTGACTCCTTCTTGAGAGAATGCTTGGGATTACTCAGCCCCGCCTCCATAGCACAGGACTGCCCCCCCACCTCAGGATCCCTAAGCACACGGGAAAGGTCGTGGGATGCTCCAAATCAGCCTTGAGCGCAACCAAGAGCAACTGTTGATCTGAATTCTATCTGCCCATGTGTTGTCATATTAGAAATTCAAACGGGGAAAATTTAACAATTTTTTAAAATTTTAGACTAACAATAATAAACCCTATTGTTATGTAAGTAATATATAGATTATGAAAAATAATTACATTTTCCAAACCAAGAATCAATAAATAGGGAAAAGATGGAGCCTATTTTACATGTTTGCAAACCTCTTAAATGTCTGGCTAGGTAACTGACAGCTACATCTCCTCTGCCTCTGTGTTAATCTGTTGTGACATCACACTTCATATGGCTCGGGGAATCTCATTGTAAACCCTTGTGGACTGCCTTGCGCACCCCAGAAGCAGCCTCGGGGGCTCCTGTTGGGAGCCGCAGCCCCGAGCCCGGTCGCCTCACTTGGCGGACGTGAGGCCTGTAGTAAAGAGTAAAGCCTGAGGTAGATTACCCCTCCCATCGAGCACGTTAGTTTCCTGCTTACCGCGTAAGCAACCCGCTCAACGATATAGTCTGCCTGGCAACTGATGATGTTAGCCAATCAGCTTGCCTTGCTTACTTTAACATGATTGGACACTGTATCCGTATATATACTGGTGCCACCCCTGGGGGGGAAGAAGAAGCCCGGAAGTAGAAGCCCAGAAGGAGCCGCGGGGAGCGGACCAAAGGAGGCTTCGGCTGGGAGCGATCCCAGGGCAGGCTGTACGGAGAAGGAAAATAAAAGAAAAGGTTGTCCACTGCCAGACTTTGTCGTGTGTCCTTCCTGCCGGCCGGGAGCGACATCGACATTTGGAGGCCCGCACGGGGACTGATCACCCCCGAGACGTGACAGCGGACAACGCTCCAGTACAGAGCTGCGAGACAGGTGAGTTGGGGATAAGCCTGGGCTCTGGGTGGCGCGCACCTACAGGGCTTTTAGACTCCCCTCAGGCTCACGCGTAAGTGGCGGATTCCTTGGGCCTCACGCGGTGAGTAACATATTAAAAGATGGGAAACATGCTAGGTAGCAACACTAAGAGCGAGGGTGGTTGTGGAGAAAGCTCTCAAGAGCTTACAAAAGTACGCAGGGTATTTGAGCAGGCCCAGTCAGGGAGCTCCCGAGAGGGGCCCGTCAAGGGGAACAAAGATGCTAAGGAGAAGGACGGGGCTCTAGCCTCGGAGTCGTCTGACTCCGAGGACAAGGGAAAGTTGAATGGCAAGGAGGCCAAAGAGACCAGCTGTCAGGAGCCTAAGTCGCTCGATAAGGAGTCGCAGGGTTCTTTCCCAGCGTTGCGCCGTGAATTGCGCTCCGCTCAACTTGGTCTGCGGAGGAGTAGGGAGCTCCTGAGCGCTCCCCGGCGCGAGAGGGAGGCGAAGCCTTCCGCCCCACCTTGGGGGCTGTTCCCGGAGGCCATCCCTCGCCGCGAGGCGGCCGCCCGGGAGCTCCCTTCCCCTTTGCCAGAACAGGAAGTGATGCACGGGCCCCCATTTTCCGCCCAATCATGGCCGCCGTCTTATGCTCCGCCGCCGGCGGGTCGGTATTTTTACAGGCGGCTTTGGCAGGGGGGACGTTTGTCTCATGAGGTACATCCACCACCTGGGATAGATAGTGGCCCCTACGGGATATTTCCTGTACAAGTAGCTATGGGCCAGGGACGTAATGCATGGGAGCCTTTTGAGATAAAGCAGATTAGAGAACTTAAAAATGCAGTTACAACCTTTGGGCCGACTGCGCCTTACACCATTGCCATGCTGGAGAACCTGTCTTCTGGGCCCCTCACCCCCGCGGACTGGATTCAGCTGGCAAAGGCGTGTCTGCCCTCGGGTAGTTACCTGGATTGGTGAGCCTGGTACGCAGAGTTCTCTGCAGAGCAGGCTGAGAGAAACGCCAGTCGGGGAAACCGGGGGTGGAACAAGGAAATGCTTATGGGAGAAGGTCGGCACGCTGATGATCAGACTCAGTTCTCCGGCGCTGTCTATGAACAAATCAACGCCATAGGGCTCCGCGCCTGGAAGCAGGTAAGTGGTGCCGGAACAGCCTCCTTGTATCTTTCAAAAATAATTCAGGGTACCACAGAGCCATTTGTTGACTTTGTGGCCCGAATGCAAGATGCTGCCGATAAGATATTTTCTGATCCGGGAGTGGCTCGACCGCTGGTAAGGCAGCTGATTTTTGAGCAATGTACAAAGGAGTGCAAGGCAGCGATAGCTCCTCATAAGAACAAGGACCTCAACGCCTGGATTAGGATATGCAGAGAGATAGGGGGGCCGCTCTCCAACTCGGGAGTGGCTGCTCTCCTGGCCGCGGCTGTACAGCAGAGGGGACCTCGCGGGTTAGAAGGGGAATGTAAGGCTAAAGGGTGTTTTGCCTGCGGGGAGCCAGGACACATTAAACGTCATTGCCCAAACAATGCAGATGCTAGGCCTCGCCCTAGGAATGAAGAACCATATGTTTGTGGGCGATGCAAGAGGGGATCACACAAAGCTGAGGAGTGTAGGTCGGTCTTTGACGCTCAGGGCAACCGTATTTGTGGACGAGATGCTAGAGAGCCAAAAAACGGCCAGAGGGGGCCC